TTTTTGTGTTCCCCCCCCCCCCATAGCTCCTAGACCAAATTTAATTGAAGAGCTGTTGCCATGTCTTTTAGAGACTTTAGACATATAATCATGTTACCAGGATAACTCACAGGTGGAATTTGGTAGACTGGAAATGATGAGTGTTCCTTGTAGTTTGTAAACTGGTATTTATTGAAAATATTGAGGATGTATACATATATGTTTATGTATTTGTAGGCACACAAATTTATGTCTTTAGTACTTCGTGATGTACTCTTAAGTACTCAGATTCTGAAAAATATATTATAAATATTTGTTATGTAGTTTGCAACAATTTCTGATCCTTGTATATGATGAGACTTGATAAAAGAAGTAATGTAGAGTCATCTGTAGAGTGCGTATCTCTGTACAAGTCTTCTGAGTCACATTAGTAGAGAGATGACAGGTTAAGATAAATATCAAGGGTACTATTGTAAAGGAAAGAAGCCCTAGAAATAGGGTGACCATCTGGCCCATTTTGCCAAGGTCTGTCCTAGTTGGTCCCTCATACCTGGAAGGATAAAATGTAGATTGGGAAGGCATGATTGCATTCTTACAGTACTGAAAGAGTCAGGGTTACAGACCAGTTGTGTGACTGTGTGTGTATTTATCTTTACTTCCTTGAGTTTCTTACTGTTCTAGGTTTGGGACCCTAAGTATTTATTTAGTTCTTTGTATATTTATTTTTCTTGTAAAATAAATCGACATAAAAGAGGAAAAGGTTGAGAACTATATTCTATATTCTTTTTTGAATGTTTTTAGTTATAATTTTTATCATTTAAAACATTTCTATGAAATAGTCATTTGAAATTTATATTCAGTGTTTCTTTGTAGAAAGAGAAAACACTGCTTTCAAAGGAAAACTTAATTCTTATCACTGTAGTTTAGGAGAAAAACCAAAGAGGAGAAGGAATAGAGAAAATTTAAAGGGTGATACAGTATTTAAGACTGTGCAGTATTCTTATATTTTAGGAAATGCCAAATTTAAAATTTTCTGTTTAGTAAATAAAAAGAAATTGCACTTTAAAAGGAGAATTGGCTAGGGATGCTTTTTAAAAAAATTTTTCTTTAAAGTAAAAGTGATTTTTGTTTCATTTCTAGCCTTTATGAAATTCCAGCTGTGTCTTCCTCATCCTTTCTTGAAGAGTTTGGCAAACTGTTGAGGGAAACAGATGAAATGGACAGCATCCATGATGTGACATTTCAAGTTGGCAACAGAATCTTCCCTGCTCATAAATATATTTTGGCATTGCGTTCTGACTTTTTTCAGAAATTGTTCCTTTCAGATAGTACTTCTTTAGATTTTACAGATGTTTACCGGAAAGACGAAGATTCTGCAGGATGCCCTCTCTTTGTGGTAGAGAAGGTCCATCCTGACTTGTTTGAATACCTTTTACAATTTATATACACAGATACTTGTGACTTTTTAACTCCTGGCTTCAAACCAAGAATTAACTTAAACAAAAAAACAGAAGAATATCAGGTCACGATGAATTCTCATTTGAATAAGATGAATTCCCATGAAGATAATCAGAAGTCAGCATTTGAAGTTTATAAAAGTAATCAAGCACATACAATTAGTGAAAAGCAGAAAAGCAAACCCAAATCTTCCAAAAAAGTAAAAAGTGTTGGGGAAGATGATCCTGTAAGAATGTTGCAAAATGTTGCAAAGAAATTTGGTTTCAGTAATTTGAGTAGTAGGTATGGCTCCTCCTTAATACCTATTTTCGTTTCATGTCCTCCTTTTAAAAATTATCTTTTCCTTTGCTGCTCTGCTCTTTTTCTCCCTCCCTTCCTTCCCCCCTTTTTGCTGGGAGGTATGTGTTTTGTCTTCTCCATTTTCTGCTAAAGCTATCTCTAATGGGACTCCCTGGATTAAAGCATTCAAGTATGGGAACACTGTTACTGGGTTTGAGCCCTCTATGGTGTTTGTGTAACAGATCTGGAGTAGCAGGCAGTGTGGTTGCTGGAAAGAGTACTATCTTTGGAGTTAGACTATAGATATATGTCTTGTAGCTTTACTATAACTAGCAGGGGCAGATTTCTTAGTTTCTTTGAACTTTAGTTTCTCAGTATACAAAATGGGAGGGATAATGCTGACCTCATATTGTTCATGTAGTTTTTGTTGTAGAAGATGGGTAAAGCGGCTAACACAGTATTGTCATATTACAAACCAGACTTTTTGGAATTTTCTATTTTTAAGATATTTATGTTGCCTATGGCAGTATAACCTTAGTTGTAGGGTGGAAGCTGGGAGGAGTGTATGTTTTCTATTTAAAAATAATGAAGGGCCTTGTGCTATAGCTTGATTTTTTAAAAAAATTGTGGGTTTTTTGTCAGTAATGATATTTAATATATTTTGAATTCTAAGTAAAATTGAGGGAGAATGTATGATTATTTCTGTACCACAGAGTGGGAGTTCTTTGAGATATTTTCTAGGTGATATAAACATATAATCATGTTCAGATATAAACTAATTTGTTGGATTTTTGTTGCTTGTTTGTTTTGGTAGAGGAATATATATGCCAATTGTTATTTTTTATCTATTCTTGTTGATAGGTTAGATGGAGTCAGATTTGAAAATGAAAAAATTAATGTTATTTCCAAGAAAACTGGTAACAAACTAAAACTAAATCAGAAAAAATGGTAAGTTTGGAAATGAAGGTAAACTTTTTGTCTCTAGATTTTGGGACCTAAGAGTGGAAATAGAACTCTTTCTTACATATGAAGCAAAATGTATAGGTAGATACACTCTTAACTTTACTGGTATTCTTCATTTTTGGAAACGGACAGTTGTTGAAGTAAATGGATAAAGTATTAACTATTTAATAGACATTGGTATAATTTATTTTTCTGATTATTTTCTAATTAGGGAAGATTTTTTATTTTTATTTTTTCTTGCCTGAATTTTGTATTTTTTTTGATCAATAGGAAATGATGTTAGTTAACTCAAAAACCAAACTGGTTATGACTCTTCATTATTATGATGATTCCTTTGTAAATCTTTTCAGTAAGGAATATACTATACTAAATACATTTGTTATTAAATATATATATTTTATAATATCCTCACTCGAGGATATTTTTTCCATTGCTTTTCAGAGAGAGAGTGGAAGGGAGAGAGAGAGAGAAACATCAATGTGAGAGAGGCACATGGATTTGTTGCCTCCCACACACGCCCTGACTGGGGTTAGGGATCAAGCCTGCAACTGAGGTACGTGCCCTTGTCCAGAATCGAACTTGGGACCCTTCAGTTAGAGCAGGCGGATGCTCTAACCACTGAGCAAAACTGGCTAGGGCTTTATTAAATATTTTGTTTTTTTATGTATTTATACTTTGTAGGTGAAAAGTTTTTAGAGAAAGAGAAACTGGAGATATCTGGATTATGCTTAGAACACAATGGGTTGTACAAACAAGTGAATTAAAGACCTTTGACTGTGATGTCACTTACTGTTATATTATTAACCCTTGGTGTGTAATGGAAAAGGAAAATTAGAAGAAGGACGGTTTTGAATATCTGAGTTCAGTTCCCTTTTAAAATATTATCTTTATTGTAAGGCCCTTATTATCTTCCTTGAAGTGGAAGGAGATGAAGTACTTTATTGTATACCTTCAAGTTGTTTATTCTCTGCTGCCTTTAATGAAGAGAAAGCCAAAAGTTAAGCCAAATCCTATAATGAATTTTCTCATTTGCTAAACATGTAAAGAAATTGTTCTTGCTTTAATTAAATATTTTTCTCGCAGTTCATTTCTGTGTGATGTGACCATGAAATCAGTGGATGGAAAGGAATTTCCTTGTCATAAATGTGTTCTTTGTGCTAGACTTGGTAGGTACACTTTTTTTAGTTGCTGATTTATTTGTTTTAGTATTTTCACTATTTTTATTGAATTTTTTTTTCTTTCAGAATATTTTCATAGTATGCTGAGTAGCTCATGGATCGAGGTAAGATTTAAGTAGAAACCACCTAGGCTGGTAACAACACTTCTTTAGATTTTGGGGAGATTATGTACTAAAGAAAGTAAAAATGAGAACCTGATATTTTAACTCAGTTTTTCTTTTGTATTAAACTTTAATTATGATTAAGCCTGCTGGAAAATAGCAAAACTTACAAATGAAAATTATTGTAGAAAAGCTACTTAAGTCAAAATGTCCCCATTACTTGGAAGTTTGGAATACAGTGTGTTCCTTTTTCTTAAATTTTCTTGATCCTTTTTCATGTTATAAAGCAATTTAAAATTAGAAGTGTCATTTTAGCTTTGTGTTTTATAAATGTTATATTCTTTTGCATTTGATGTGATTCCTCTTCAGAATTTTTTGTACCAATCTCAATCAGAATATAGTAGTATTTTGCAGTTTAATTGTTTTATTTTATCTTATTTAATTTAGGCTTCCAGTTGTGCAGCTCTGGAGATGCCAATACATTCTGACATACTGAAAGTTATTTTGGACTACCTCTATACTGATGAAGCTGTGGTGATAAAAGGTATTAATAAGAGTTAGAGTAGCCCTGCCAGCTTGGCTCAGCGGTTGAGCATCTACCTAGGATCCAGAGATCTCAGTTTGATTCCTGGTCAGGACATATGCCCAGGTTGTGGGCTTGATCCCCAGCAGGGGGCGTGCAGGAGGCAACTGATCAATGACTCAATCTCATCATTGATGTTTCTCTCTCCCTCTCCCTTCCTCTCTCTCTGAAATCAATTTAAAAAAAAAAAAAAAAAAGTTACGGTATTTTAGATTTTTAAGATATTTGAATAATGGTAAAATCAACATGAATCTTAATTTCTACTCTTAATTGAAATAAGTCATCAACAGAGGCTTAATTTAGAGTTAGCAATAGGCACGATTACTAACAGTAAAGGAGTGGAAAAAGCAAGTTTTCATTACCTTATGTGAAAATGAACTATATAAGAATTATATTTATTTGTCGAGATTAGATTTAATTGTTGAAAATATTACAGATGACCCCTTTTTACCCCCATTGATTCTCTCCACCCCACCCCCAGCCCTCCCCAGACCAATGTCTGTGTCCATGGGTTATGCTTATAAACATATAAGTTCTTTGATTACTCTCTCCCCTTCCACTCCCCCCTCCCCGCCTTCCCTCTGAGATCCCTCAGTCTGTTCCATGTTTCTATGCCTCTGGATCCATTTTGTTCATCAGTTTATTTTGTTTATTACATTCCACATATAAGTGAGATCATGTGGTAGTTGCCTTTCTCTGACTGGCTTATTTCACTTAGTATAATACTTTCTAGTTCCCTCCATGCTGTCCCAAAGGATAAAAGATCCTTCTTTTTTACAGCTGCATAGTATTGCATGGTGTAAATGTACTGGCAGTTTTTTTTATCCACTCATCTACTGATGGGCAGATGGGCTGTTTCCAGATCTTAGCTATTGTAAAGTGCTCTGCTATGAACATAGGGGTGCATAAGTTCTTTGTGATTGGTGTTTTGGGTTTCTTAGGATATATTACTAGAAATGGGATCACTGAGTCAAATGGCAGGTCAACTTTTAATTTTTTTTTGAGGAAACTCCATAGTGCTTTCCATAGTGGCTGCACCAGTCTGCATTCCCACCAGCAGTGTACTCAGGTTCCCTTTCTTCACACCCTCGCCAGCACTTGTCATTCATTAATTTGTTGATGGCAGCCATTCTGACAGGTGTGAAGTGGTACCTCATTGTGGTTTTAGTTTACGTCTCTGATGATTAGTGATGTTCAGCAGTTTTTCATATGTCTCTTAGCCATCTGTATGTCCTCTTTGGAGAAGTGTCTATTCAGGTCCTTTGCCCATTTTTTAATTGGATTGTCTGTCACCCTTTTGTTAAGTTGTATGAGTTCCTTACATATTTTGGACATTAACCCTTTATCAGATGTGTCTTTGGCAAATATGTTCTCCCATATAGTGGGCTCCCTTTTCGTTTTGTTGATGGTTGCTTTTGCTGTGCAGAAACTTTTTATTTTGATGCAGTCCCATTTGTTTATTTTCTCCTTCCCTAGGAGATGTATCGGCAAACATACTACTATGAGAGATGTCTGAGATTTTGCTGTTTATGTTTTTCTCTAGGATTTTTATGGTTTTATGTCTTACATTTAAATCTTTTATCCATTTTGAGTTTACTTTTGTGTATGGTGTAAGTTGGTGGTCTAGCTTCATTTTTTTGCATGTACCTGTCCAATTTTCCCAACACCATTTATTGAAGAGACTGTCTTTAAAACGTATGTTCTTGCCTCCTTTGTCAAATATTAATTGACCATAATGGCGTGGGTCAGTTTCTGGATTCTCTGTTCTGTTCACTGATCTATATGTCTGTTCTTGTACCAGTACCAGGCTGTTTTGATTACAGTGACTTTGTAGTATAACTTGATCTCTGGTATTGTGATCCCTCCAACTTTGTTCTTCTTTCACAGGATTACTGTGGTTATTCAGGGTCTTTTTTGGTTCCATATAAATTTTTCAAAGTGTTTGTTCTAGGTCTGTGAAATATGCTGTTGGTATTTTAATAGGGATTGCACTGAATTTATAGATTGCTTTGGGTAGTATGGACATTTTAATGATGTTAATTCTTCCAATCTATGAACATAGTAATCCTGTGAAANGATGTTAATTCTTCCAATCTATGAACATAGTATATTTTTCCATTTGTTTATGTCATCCTCTATTTCTTTTTTCAGTGTCCTGTAGTTTTCTGAGTACAGGTCTTTTACATCTTTGGTTAAGTTTATTCCTAGGTAACTTATTTTTTTAGTTGAAATGGTAAATGGGAATTTTTTTTAGTTTCTCTTTCTGAGAGTTCATTATTGGTCTATAAAAATGCCATTGATTTCTGGGTGTTAATTTTGTATCCTGATACCTTGCTGAATTCATTTATTAAATCTAGTCTTTTTTTGGTGGAGTTTTCAGGATTTTCTGTGTACAATATCATGTCATCTGCAAATAATGACAGTTTTGTTTCCTCATTTCCAATTTGGATGCCTTTCATGTTTTCTTCTTGTCTGATTGCTGTGGCTAGGACTTCCAGTACTAAGTTGAATAAGAGTGGTGAAAGTGGACACCCCTGTCTTGTTCCTGTTCTTAGGGGAAATGGTTTTAGTTTTTGCCCATTGATTATGATGTTGGCTGTAGGTTTGTCATATATGGCCTTTATTATGTTGAGGTATGATCCCTCTATTCCCACTTTGCTGAGAGTTTTTATCAGAAATAGGTGCTGGATTTTGTTGAATGCTTTTTCTGCATCTATTGATATGATCATCTGATTTTTGTACATTTGTAGGAATTTATCCAATTGTTCTAGATTTTCCAGTTCATTAACATACAAGTGTTCACAGTAAGTAGTTTCTTATAATCCTTTGTATTTCTTTGGTATCAGTTGTAATTTCTCTCATTTATAATTTTGAGTCCTCTCTTTTTCTTAGTCCACTTAAGGGTTTGTTAATTTTGTTTATCTTTTCAAATAACCAACTCTTAATTTTGTTGATCTTTTTTTTTTTTTTTTTTTTGTATTGTATCTAGTTCATTGATTTCTGCTGTAATTATTTCCTTTCTTCTTCTAACTATGGGCTTCATTTGTTCTTTTTCTTGTTCTTTGTTGTGTAAAAAGTCTTAAGGTTGTTCTTTTGAATTCTTTTTTATTAAGGCATTTATCAGTGTAAACTTTCTTGTTAGAACTTTTTTTGCTTTATATCAGTTTTTGGTATGTTGTGTTTCCATTTTCATATGTCTCAAAAGATATTTTTTTTTTGCTTTCTCTTTAATTTTTTTTGACTTACTGGTTGTTTAGGACTGTGTTGATTAATTTCCACATATGTGAATTTTCCAATTTTTCTCCTGTTCTATTTTTATTTTTATTTTTGTGGTGGCCTAACATATCTCTTCTGTATAATGTTTAGTGTGCACTTGAGAAGAATACGTATTTGCTTCTGTTGGATAGAATGCTCTGCATATGTCTGTTAGGGCCATTTGGTCTATAGTGTTGGTCAAGTCTGCTGTGTCTCTACTGATTTTCCATCTGGATGATCTATCCATACTTGAATATGGAGTATTGAAGCCCTCCATTATTATTGTATATTGATGTCTATTTCTGCCTTTACTTCTTTTAATAGATATGTTGTATATTTAGGTTCAATGTGGTTTGTATATATCTTTATAATTGTTATATCTTATTGAGGTATTGACCCCTTTATCATTGTATAGTAACCTCTTTGTCTTTTGTGACTGTTTTTGATTTAAAGCCTATTTTGTCTGATATAAACATAGCCACTCCTGCCCTCCTTTTCTTACCTCTTTTTCCATCCTTTCACCTTCAACCTATGTGTGTCCTTAAAGGTAAAAGGAGTTGGATCTTGTTTTTTTATCCATTCACCCACTTTGTCCTTCAATTAGGATCAGAGAATCTTACCTATTTACGTTTGAAGTAATTATTGATGGGTAAGAACATACTATTGGCATTTTGTTGTTTTCTGACTATTTTGTAGTTCCTTTGTTACTATCTTCCTTGGTGGTTTAATGATGTTTTTTGTAGTGATATCCTTTTATTTCTTTCTCTTTTGTGTATCTACTATAGGTTTTTGCTCTGTGGTTATCATAAGATTTCCATATAACATCTTACAACAATATTTTAAACTAATCACAACCTAACTTCAGTTGCATACAAAACTTCTATACTTTTATTTCTACTCCCTCCTCTGGGCTATTGTTTCTTCAGATATTCTTTATACCCTTTCCCTTCTCCTTCTTGGACTCCCATATGTATCTTGGTGTGATGGATGGTATTCCATAGTTCATTTATATTCTGTTTACTTTTATTCATTCTTTTTTCTTTCTATTCGTCAGGTTGGATAATCTCATTTCTGTTTTCATTGGTACTATTGATTTCATGAGACTTTGTACTTATGCTTCCTTTTAGTTTTTTAGACATAATTTCCTTTAGTTCTTTGGTCATATTTCAAATAGCTGCTTTAAACTTTTAGTTCAGCATCTTGGCTTCTCAGGGACAGTTTCTCTTGGCTGCTTTTTTCCCTATATATGAACCATACTTATATTTTTCTTTGCATCTTTCATACTTTTGTTGTTGAAAACTGAACATTTAAATAATATAATGTGGCAACTCTTAAAATCAGATTCTTCCCCTTCCTCAGGGTTTGTTGTTTAGTGTGTCCCTTTATATTTAAAGGAGTATGTTGGAACTCTCTTCCTGTCTTGTATATGGCTGCCTTCTTGTTATGTCCTCACATGGCCTTTTGCACACTCATGCACATGCGTGTGTGTGTGTGTGTGTGTGTGTGTAGAGGTGGGGATGGGAGAGGGAGAGATAGAGATATTTTTGATGTCTCTTAGAAGGACACTAATTCTGTCAGATCAGGGCCCTACCCTTTTTATTTTATATAATCTTAATTACTTCCTTAGAGGTCCCATCTCCAAATATAGCCACACTGGAAATTAGGGCTTTGTACATGTGAATTTTCAGGGGACACAAACATTCAGTTATAACATCTTTTTTCCTACCTGTTCTTTGTAAGTTTTCAAAATCTGTTTCTTATTTGCTCCATCCATTATCATTGTCTCAGTCAGCTTCAGTGTGAGACAATTACTGATGATTGTTTTTAACAAATGCCCCTAAGGAAGAGGCTGTTCACATTGGGTAAGCTTTGAGTAGGTCAAAGACAAGCCCTGATAGTGGGTGGGGTTTCCAGGGACCTGCCGTACAGGTCAAATAATGACTGTGTTTTGTTGTATTTTTTAATAATGTTGTTCCACAATTGTTCTGTCTCCTCCAGGGGCTGTAATTGTTCATTTTCACTGTGATTGCTTGGTTGGTGGTTTGTAAGATTACTGTGGAGGAGGAGAGAGGAGGGTATGAAGAGAAAAAGCTACAATGTCCCAAAACTCACTGTCTTGAGTCAGCACTCCCAAGATCATTGTAACTATTTGGCTAATTTTTAGAATTCTGAAAAAGTTGATTTGGACAATTTTTTTTGCAGTATTCTCATTGCCTTTGTGGAGGAGAGGAATTTTGGAACTAGTCCGTAGTCTGCTATTCCCAATGACTTCATCTCTTCATTTTTTCTTAAGCATTTCTCCCTCTTTCTTCCTTTGGTGTTTTTGTTTTTTTCTATTTATGTCGTTATTCTGGCATGGGTTCAGGGGCATTACTTAAGGCCATTAGTACGCTGGCCAATAAGGTTATTTTAAATTAAGGAATTCCTGTAAGTTAAAAAAAAAAGTATCCTTAGATGACCAGTTTTATTATTTTTTAAAAATTTTTATTGATTTCAGAGAGAGAAAGGGAGAGAGAGAAAGAAACATCAGTGATGAGAGGGTCATTGATCAGCTGCCTCCTGCATGTCCCCTGATGGGGATAGAGCCCGAAACCCCGGTATTTGCCCTGACCAGGAATCAAACCCAGATCTCCTGGATCATATAGGTAGATGTTCAACCGCTGAGCCACGCCGGCCAGGCTAGATGACCAGTTTTAAATAAGGAAGCCTAAGAGCATTATTCACCCCTAATCCCCTTCCTCCCTCCCCGTATATGCATTTATATGTGTATGTTAACATATACCTATATTAAATTTGATGTTAAGATTTGACTTTCTTCCTTGTTTATTAATTTGAGAAATGTTTGTTTAACAATATGAGAGATTTTAAATAAGTCAGGCATTGTAATAGCCCTCTCGACTAAAAAGATCAACTCAAGTTGACCATTTTATGGTCCTAGTGTGAAGCATTTTGGTGTATATGTTTCTAGCTTTCTATTAAAAGGTAGAAATATTGTGATATTAATGCTGTTTATCATAGTTACCATTCCAACATTTAGAAAATAATTATAATTCTCTTTTACTGTCTTAATTACTTGTTTTCCTAGGTGTTATGTTTATAAAGCAATAACAAGTGATGCTTATTTTCTTTTTTTTTTTTTTAGAATCTCAAAATGTGGATTTTATTTGCAGCGTTCTTGTGGTCGCTGACCAGCTTCTCATAACTCGATTGAAAGAGATTTGTGAAGTAGCATTAACTGAAAAACGTGAGTATTTTTGAATTTGGATATTAGTATGTTTTCAGGTTGGTCCAGTATTACTGTATTTTATTGACTTTTGATGCCATTTATGGTAAAATGCACCAGTGTTCTTTTGTATCATGAAAATTGTCAAAATATTTAAATGATTTCATGTCATCATTTGTAAGCATATCCTTATTTCAGAGATATTAATATGTGAAAATATGTACATCTTAGAATTGCAATATGTTTTTAAAAATGTCACAAAACTTGGAATAATAAAGATGGTGTGACATTTATTTTGGAATTTCAAGGGTAAGTTTGGAAGCAGAAATTTTTACCCTTGCCCTGGTCTTGGCTGTAAGTCTGTTTAGCTACCCATTTCCTACTCTTTGTTGGATGTTTATGTAACGGTCCCACTAATATATTTGGTCAAAACACATCTCTTTTAATTTCTTTCTCTGTTCATTATTTCAGTTAATTGCATGTCTTTTCTCCTGAACACTCAACTTTGAAACTGCAAGTTGCTTTTTGTTATTTTGTTCCTTATACCAGATTCTTTTAGATGTCAAAATTGATTCATCTTAACTGAGTTGATCACGTTTCTCCCACCTTTATATTCCCTCTGTGACCATGCTAGTTGAATTCACTTTTTCCCATCTTTTCTGCATAATGTAGTATTTTAAGTCCTTTTTCTGCCTTCTAATTTCTCTTTAATCTTTCTGGAGGAACTAATTATATCTCCCCTGTTCAAATATTTTTAATTGCTTATTCTAGGATAAAGGTTACATTTCCTTAGCCTGATATGAAAGTTTTGTGTCTCCTTCATTGCCACATTACCACTTAAAGGAAGTGTGATTTCCGGTCAAGTTTTTCTAATCTGTATTTGCTAGTAGTTTGTTTTAGCTCTAGTGTCCTATTTATACGCTTTTCTTTAGCTCTGGGTTATCAAAAAGAGATCATCTCTGATTTTTTAAGCAAGAAAAGGGAAATATGAGTAAAATAAAGGAAGCAACATTCAGTAGGTATAAAGTATAGATGACATTTTTAGTTGTTCTATTCACTTTCCTGGTATCTCTTGGATATTTTTTTTCTTGGCCCCTGCTGCACAGTTGCCTTTATTAATGACTTTCTCAATCTTCCTAGAACCTAGCAAGATAATGGTTTGGTCTCTAGTTATCGGGCAATCCTTGTTCCCAACTGAACAATTCTAAAATCGTTATATGATCCATTTTAATTTCCTTGAAGTGGGAGACTATGGATTAAGCAATCATTAGTTGAAACTAGGTTAGTCTAGCGTGAGATGGAGACGATTATTTCTTGCAGTTATACCTTTTGACAGTTATAAGGGAGAAAGAAAAGAAATGGTGGAAGCCTGGTGTAGAAGACATTTGTGTTTCTCTTTTGGCCATGACTTAGAGTAAATAAGAAAAAGAATGGAGAGGTTCGGGAAGGCAAAGTTACATGCTAGGTAGGTAGGATATTCTGGGACAGTCTTCTAGCAAAACATCATATATAAAGTTACTAGCATTATAAGAAAATGCAGAATCTTTTGTACAGTATGCCAGATTCTGCACTGCCATGAACTATATCGTAAGATATAGATGTACGCATTTTTCCAAATATATTGTATGTGTGTATACATGCAGATATTCCCACATAAATTGATAGATTACTCAACATAAATATATTTTACAGAATGATTTCTCATAGTCTTAAAAATAGCTTTAGTTTTATAGAAGAGAGAATTACTATTCTGGGCTATATAAATGAAAAGAAAAGCTGTTTATCAATGAAAGTTAAAAATATTCTAAAATTATTAGGTGCAAAATTGTCAATTCTTATGTATTTGCTTTTAGGTGACACTGTAATGCACCTTCTCCATTTTCTTTGCTTAAAAAAATTTTTTGTGCTTATTTTTTCTCATAACCAATCATTTAAAATTATTTTGGCATATTAGGATGAAAAATGAGTTCTATATTTGCCCTTATATAAGTTATTTTTAGCAAGAAACTATCAATTTTTCTTGTTCTAAATGTTTAAACTTGACAACTTTAGACATAAGCATATTTCATTTTCTGTAGTAACATGCCTTTCATCTCATTTTGCATGTATTTTCTTCCTTTATAGTTACCCTCAAGAATGCGGCTATGCTACTAGAATTTGCAGCAATGTATAATGCTGAGCAATTGAAACTATCTTGTTTACAGTTTATAGGACTGAATATGGCAGCTTTACTTGAAGCAAGGTAGGTTGGTGCATATATTATATGATCGTTGCAAAAGCAATTATTTATAAACAATAGCAGTTATATTGGTAATTTAAAAGTGAATAATGATAAATTACAGCTTTGTAGAAAAAAAAAAAGTAAGAGGATTTATTTATTCCATGAACATTTGAGTGCCTACTATATGCTAGCTGTTGATAAGGTACAACAATGAACAAAATAGACAAAATCCTTACTCTCAGTGGAGCTTACATTCTGGTTGGAGAGTTGTGGAACAATATTATCACAAGTATATTTTTTATATGTATGTATATCTCTTTGCTTGTTTAGGTTGATTTGTAACTATGTAATTGTGAACTTGGCTTTTGGAAACTATCTGTAATACTAGTAATTACTTTACATGAAAGCATGCATAAAATTTGTTGCTGGTTGATTTCTATTTTCTCTATGTATTTATTCTCTTTAAGACATTTCCTGTCAAACTTAGGCTGCAAGGGGTGGTCTGAAAAATTCATTTCCTCTAGTTTGTTACAAGCTGATAGGTGTGTTGAAGGCTTTACATAGATATCAATGTGTAATGAAATGTTTCTTATGAAAAATGACACATGTTACATAAAAAATCAGCTAAATATATATACCCTGTTTTGTAAGTTAATATTTCATATTATGAGAATTACCTGGATGGAAATTATTTGATATATGTTAATGATTTAGGTTAGGAGTCTTAGACATTTTAGAATTAGAAGGATGTTGGAAATTTCATTCTATTTTCAGTTGTTTTAGCAGTGGAATTTATAATGAAATAAATTTTGATTTTTTTTCTAATAAAGTCAAAATTTATTACATTTAACTCACTATAAAGTCAATGGTGAGAAAAATGAGTGTTTTGGTGAACAAAAATTTGAGATTAGCAATCTTAGTGTCATTTTGCATTTTTAAAGCTTTGGTATCCAGTTTATTTCTGTATTTTATGTTATTCATAATAACAACCAATACTGCCATAATTTTTAATGGTGGTAATAAAAATTATTAATGATAATAAATTCTAATGTGCCAGGCAGCATTCTAAAAGTATTACAGAGGTACAGTTAATTTCATGAAAACCTTATGAATTAGACTCTGTTTATATATTCATATTAAAGATAAAAAACCCAGGAAACTTTTTTTTGTAAAGAATCAAGAAAACCTTAACCTATATAATTTATTTTAAATGATAACAGTTTTTGATAACTCACCTTTCAAATTCAGGATAATCTTTAATGAAACTAATTCCAAAACTGATTGAAATAAAAGTGTTTTGCTAACAGATTTTTAATAATTGCCCGTTAGGGTTCAATTTAGAGGAAATACTATTTTGGCAGTTTATTGCTTTGTTATTTTGTAAATAATGTTTTTCAAGTACAAATTAATGTTATGGGATATTAGACAATGTCATTTGAAAATGCCTCTGGAATTTTTGTGTGAGAGCCTAGCTAGAATTTCAGAAGAAGAATTTCTTTGCTAACATTACAGTAGTAATCTAATCATAGAAATTTTTAACCAAATTAAGCTCATTCAATTTGTCAGATAGGAATCAGCCAAAATGTAAAGTAAGCACCACACCTATCTAAACTATATTGGAAAATGATGAGTCATACTACTATTGTTCAATTATTAGGTTGTGGTAAGTGCATCAGCTGAACTATTAGTATAAAGGATGGCACATAGCGTGATTATGTCTGTACTAATGCAATTTTACATGAGTAGATATGTATAACTTGCATTAAACCAAAGATTTGTACAAACTTGGCCATTCCTAATCAAATATGTGTTTGCTAGAAAAAGTGCAAATAAATGTGCACAGAAAAGGAGGGCACACTAATATTGACACAGCTTAACAAGTTAATTATCTTCAAAATGTTAAAACTGGTATGGTACTCGTATGAATGTGCAAGTTGTTTTAGATTAATTGTAAAAATAGTTTAAAACATATTTCGGAATATAAACTTTGATTTAAATTTTTACTGATGTCTTAAAGTACATCTTTGGAACCTGAGTTTCTTAAAATCTACTTTGAATCCTATTGGTCTAGTCTGAATGTCATTTTGCACGTGAATATACTAAAGCCCAGAGAGGTAAAGTGAGTTGCTCAAGGTCATGCAGGTAATTGGTAGCAGTGATAATTCTAGATAAAATTTAGGTATCCTGATAGGCTATTGTTCTATCAGTATAAGCACTCCTTCAAAGATTATTGTGGAAAACGAAAGTTGAAAAATGAATATGTACTTCCTATTTCATTATGATAGAAAAGATTTTTCTATCACTTATAAGAGTTGCTTGAGTTTTATGTAAAATATTTGTCTAGTGTGTTCATGCTGTTTAATATATAACTGTGCATACTTCCTAAAAGAATTTGTAACAGCTAGATATTAATATTTTAAGAATATACTTATTCAGCAATATAAAATATCTCTATATATTTGAAAATTTTGACAGGTATTAAGTTACTTGAGTGTTAATGTAAAATTTTGTATCTTGTTAGGTCTCTTGATGTTTTAAGTGTTGGTGTTTTGAAGGATCTTTCTGCATTTTACCGAAAAATGGTAAGGTTTATGTGTTTTTTTTTAATGATATTATTTAAAGCAGTATATTAGGTCAGACTTCTCAATGGAATAATTTCCTAGTGAATTCTAATACATTAGCATCATTTAGAAAATAGGACTTAGTATTTCTTTACAGATCCCATAGATAATTGAAATTAAAGATAGTTAATGATAAGATCTTTTAATTCCTTTATAAAGTTATTGAAAGCTTCAGAGTCTTACATTATTTTTTATTTACCAAGGGTCAGGACAGTGCAAAAACATGGATTTTTGTGATCCCTAACAAATAGATTTATTTGTATTTTTAATAAAGGGGAGCCTTTTTTGTCAAGGTTTTCTTTATTTAAAAATTTTTTTTTTAAATTTTTACGACTTAATGGAATAAACTTTTAATCTAATCAGCCCCCTGATTTAAATTTAGAAAGCCATTAGGCATTCTAGACTTTCTCTAGTTTATGTCACCACATAGTAAAACAAATAGGACATTATAGCAATCTTTCAAGAAATCTTTATAAATTGTGTATTTAAAAGGTGACATCTTTTTTTCTGTAGATTCCAGCAATGGATAAAAGAGTCATCACACCATATCAAGATGGACCAGATATTAGCTATTTGGAACTAGTAGAAGATGGAGATGTTTTTTTGAAAGAAGAAATAAATACTGAACAAAGTTATTCGTAAGCTCTGTTTCCTTTTTTTCTTCTCCCCACCTCCCCATTCCAGATCTTGGACACTTTTATATTGATATTGAAAAAGAAATTGAGAAACCTGACATAAGACATGTATTTATACTCATTCTTATCCTTGGTTTAGTACAAAGTAAGTGAATAATTTATATTTGCAGATATAACAAAATTACCTATGAATATGAAAGGAATGTAGCCTTCAGGTTAAACATGTTGGGTTGAATTAGTGTATTTATCTTAACTACCTTCCCAAACCCTGCTGAGGTTAAAGAAATAAAAAAGGCATAATGTGCTAAAGCTCAGAGAACAGGAAAGGAGAAGACAGTAGTTAGGAGACTTTGACAGTTTTAGAAGTTGGAAAGAGTTGCTTGAGCAGTAATGATTTAGAACAGAAAAAAACTAAAACATAATTCTGGAAAGGCTTAAGAATGAGCAATTCCAGCTTTATGAAGACCAGAGTTAGTGGTTGGATTTGGAAAAGAGCATTGATTTCTTTATGATCCTCATTCAACCAAGTGATTTTCACTTCCCCACCTTGGTATGAAGACTAGATTCCTCTTTATAGTGAACCAAAGTATCCCAGGTTCTAGGTAACATCCCAGTACTGGGACCAACCATTTAACAAGCCTTGCTTAGAATTTCCAATTAATGGCTTAGATTTACTTATCAACTGCTAACAGAATTACTTCTTCTTGGTAAATGACCTGTTGAACAACCAGTCTTCGGTTGTTCAACTCATTTACTATATATATATATGTTGTGGTGTCATGTTTGTGTAGTAACTTACTATGTAGCTCACTGAAAAACTGCTCTTGGGTTCCAGATATGTTCTTCTTCTTTTTTTTAAATCCCTTTTCTAGAGTTTGGTAGCACTTAGGATACTTGGCTGTTTAAATTATAAAATTATTAGCATTGACAAATATGTTATCCTTTACAAAATAGTATTCACAGCTGATTTGTATAACTGTTGAATTATATAATGAGATCTGTAATTTTTAGTTAAAAAAAGGTAGTTGTCCTTATAGGTAATTTTATTTTCCCTTTCTTGATTAATACTACTTATTCTAGGGGATGAAACATTCCTTGGAATGCTTTAAAAGTTATCAGCAAATATTTCTCATTCAAGATTGTAGCTTGTGAACATTTGCAGTATTTTACTTTTCAAAGAATTTTCTTGTATACCATCTTGTTTCTAACTTTCACAGAAATGCTAGAGTCAGAATAAGTAATAGTATCACACTGAGGTTCAGTGAAATTGAGTAACTGGCCCCAGACTACATAGATAAATGTGACTATAGTATGTATATCCTTATGTGTTTTATCAACATGCATAGTTCTTCTCTTTCATCTTAACTTGTTTTTTAAAAAGTGACTTTTCTGTGCTTTTTCCTAGGGAAAGTATGTTCAAGAAGGCCAAAACAAAAGCAAAAAAGAAGCCACGTAAGCGTTCAGATAGTTCTGGAGGTTATAACCTTTCCGATATTATTCAGAGCCTACCATCTACAGGTTAGTGGAAAGTGTTTCAGGATGTATTTCTGGATATAACCTTTCATGTCTGTATTATCTAATTCATTTAACATGTATTAAATACTATTATATGTTATTTTCTGGGGCTGCTGAAATAGAAAATTGTCTTAGGGTGTCTACAGAGTGTGATAGTATTTGTGATAAGTGCTCTGAAGTTTGCTGTGGGACACGCAAAGTAGTCTGAGAAGATAGGAAGGATCTCTTAGTGGAAAGTGATACCTGAGTTGGATCTTGAAAAATGAAGAGAATTTAGCCCAGAAAAGGAGGCAGGTAGATATACCTACTAAGAGAAGGGGGTAATATGTTCCCAAGCCTAGATGCAATAGAAAGAACTGCACATTTCTTGTATATATAGTTCAGCATGGCCCAGCCATTTAGGGTGTGTGCAGATAGGAGATAGGTTAGAGAGGGCCATATTTTGGAGGTATTGCATGCTAAACCAAGGTATTTGGATTTTATTCTGAAGACTGGTTAGCTATAAATGGATTTTTAAGGCAGGGTGTGACTAGATAAGATTTATGCTTTTAGAAAGACCACTGTGTCCAGTGGCATGGAAGGTTAGCAGAGGTGGGCTAAACATGACAGATACTGTTATCTCATGGATTGAGTTTGTATTTATCAGTGCTCTGAGGGAGATGTCAAGTGAGATGCCATTCATGTGCATAAGGAGGTATATAATCCAGTAGTAGAATATAACACATTTTCTATCTAGGCATTATGTTAGCCTGTTTGAAAGTAAAGGTTATGTAGTTATTTTTAAAAAAGTTTTCCTGGTTTTTTATTTTGAAAATATTTAGCTTGAAAAGATGGAAGAAAAATACCATAAACACCTTATACCCTTCATCTGCATTTATTGTTAACCTCTAACCACATTTGCTTTTTCTTGTAGTCTTTCTGTTGCATGCCCTCTTCCCTCATCCTCCAAACATTCTATACACACACTTTTTTAACTGATACACTTGGAAGTAAGTTGTAGACATGACATTTCCCCCCAAACTTTTATATGAATCTCCTAAGAATATTCTCCTACACAACCACAATGCCATTATCACATCTAAGACAATTTAATTCATTAATATTATTTAGTAATAGTCTATATCCAGATTTCCCTAGTTGTCCAAAAATGTTTTTATAGCCTTTTTTGTTTTAGCCTTTAAAAAAATCTAGTATCCTATCAAGATTGACTTTGCCTTTTCTTAATATCTCTGTAGTATCTTTTAACTAAGAGTAGCACCCCTCATACCATTTTGTTTTGTTTTGTCTTGAAAAGTTCAGGCCAGTGGTTTTATAGACTGTCTCCCATTCTAGATTCAGATTAAACTGTCTAAATTTTAATGATTTCTTTAGATAAAAATATAAAGTATGACTATAAAATAATGAGATTACAATATGATTTTCAAAAACAGTAGGTATGTCTATAGCAGTAAGATATAACCTAATACAGTTGCTATCAGCATATTTTCATAGTCAACCTTATTACAAGCAGCTTTGAAAAATACAACTGCACATTGTTTTGTGTTCAATAAAATATTATAAAAAAGGTGCTTAGTAAAGATCATAGGAGCCTGGCCAGGCGTGGCTCAGCAGTTGAGCTTTGACCTTGGATCCAAGTGATCGGGGTTTGATTCCTGGTCAGGGCACATGCCCGGGTTGCAGGATTGATCCCCAGTTGGGGGTGTGCAGGAGGCAGCCAATCAATGACTCTCTCATCATTGATGTTTTTCTCTCTCTCTCCTTTCCTCTCTTGATAACACAAAAGATAAGCCCCGAAGAATGGTTTCCTATTTACCATATCTCCTGATTCCTATTTTAGGACCTTTAAAAATCTTAAAGTGATTTTGTGCTCTCAGTGTTGTATGAATTGCCTTTAGAAGGAGGCATAGGTTGATTGATGGAAGGATGAATAAATGGATAGATAGTTTTGAAACTATTTTCCAGTTACTTTAAAAGACTTATGGAAAAGTAGATACTTCGTTTGTTTTAAATAATGTTATTGTTAGCACATGCATTAGTCTTAGCATTTCAGAGCTGTAAGAGACTTTAGTAATGAACTAATTTATATCTGTCCCTTCCTTTAAACTTGAGGAAACAGGCTCAGAAAACTTAAGTGATTCAAGGTAGTGACCAACAGAAATAGATTTATTTTCTGATTCCAATTTTATATTCTTCCTGCTATACCACTCTTTCTTTGGCAAAACAGATAATGATTGAAAGGTTAAATTTAATTGGGGGCCAAAAAGATCCATTCTGGAAGAAAATTTGAGTTATGAGGCAAATTACATCAAGGACAGTTGTACATAGGCTTAACATTTATTTGCATTGACGTTTAAAGTTAGACAAGAGACATTTTGTGAAAAAATTTTTTTTTTTACCCGAAACAACTATTGGCCACTTTAGTCATCCTTTTTATTTATTAGACTTATTCTGATTGACTTTTCAGAGAATTTCAGTATTAAATAATGCTCTCTTAAATAAAAATTTGCCTCCCTTAAAAATATTTAAAATATTATGGTCAAAAAATATTTGAATGTTAGTTTCAAACTCTGTCTTAGCAATGATTACCACAAAAGAGGCATATATCTTGTCAAGGTGATTTACATTCAAAAGAATAACACTTATTAGAATATATAAGAGATTGTATATTTTGTTTTTAAATCAATTGCACAACTTTTAGTTACAGCCCATAAAATGTGTTTATTTTGGTTATTTTGCTGCTTCATTTAGATTGTACTAAATTTGAAATATGTGATAAACACACATGAACTGATGCAAAAGTTTACTTTTTATTCTGTTTATATTTGATATGATTCTGATCTGCTAATGAATCTGGATACCAGGTATGGCAGGGAAACAAGTATTTAGCTTACGAGAAGAAATGGTATATATATTTCATAACAACTCTTTGGCTTTAGGTAATAAGCTCATTAAAAATAGCTCTTAATCCACAGATTTTTTCTTTTATTAATTTTTTTTTTTTTGCAGAAGGAATCCTTCAAACAGACCACAATTGGCTTCAGCAAAGCCTGTGCTACTGGGCCAGTCCCACTCTATGTGGGTGCAGAGACCTCTACAGAGAGATAGAAGGGAAAGGGCAAGGGACTGGAGTTTATTAATTTTGTCTTTTTTATTTTTATGTGGAAGAAAAAAGTTCAGAATCACTTTTTAAAGCAGATTTCAAAGAACTGTCTTCCTTGGGATCATTGCATAATTGGTATATAATTGAAGCTGTTGTTTTAAGTCTAAATTTTAAATCTCCTTTTCAGGTTTCATTTTAACTGATTTCTTTTTTTACCTTGAATTATAAGATTTTGGCATAGTGGCTATAATTTAAGTATGGATAAATGGAAGCTTTTGGTTTTATTTGGTTTACTGAATGTAATACATATATATTTAATGTATATATCTTTAAAAATATATATTTTAAATTTACCTTTTAGGATTATTAAAGTCTGATAAGACCAATTCTGTGGAATCGCTTCCAGAACTGTTGACGTCAGACTCTGAAGGAAGCTATGCAGGAGTGGGTAGTCCTAGAGATTTACAGTCCCCTGATTTCACAACAGGATTTCATTCAGATAAGACTGAGGTCTGTTTTTACTTATATTAAAAATTAATATATTCTTTTCTTAACTTCAAAGTTTAGGTCTATAGGCAGTTTATCTTTAGTATTATGTTATTTTTACCTTAAAACACTGTCCTGGTTGGTTAATAATAAAATAACATTAATGACATAATATGTGTAGTTAGTTTTCTCAGATTTGCATAATGTTGCCAGATTTAAAGATTTTAATGGCAGTTTTGAGCACTTTTTGATGTTTTATTTCTAATCTTTCTGCAACTAAAATCCATGGAAAATATGCTTTATAGCTATGTCAGTTAACACCACCTAAAAATTGTCAAAGGAAAGTGATTTGAATGTACGCCTAATTTCAAATCCTGCAGTCTTTTCTCTATGATGTTAACTGAAGGAATACACTCTGGAATGGAGTTCTCCTAATCTATCACAATTTGTTAAAATGCAGAATTCCTAGTCTGGTCAACTCTGGGGAGGTCATTTTTTAGACATCTCGTAACATTTTATTCCATAATTGTTAGTCCACTGAATGTTAGTCTACAGGGAAGGAAAATGTCTAATTTATTAGATACTGACTCATTTTTTTCTGACTCCTACACATACGCATATTAGAACTAGAATTCCTGAGACAATGAAAAGTTTACCCTTTCTTAGAATCTTCTAGGCCTCAAGGGTTGATTAAAAAAATTGTTTTTTTTTAAATGTAGGGTAGAAATTGGGAGGCAGTTCATATTAACACGAGGATTGGTCTGTAATGCAGTTGAGGTTTAAAGGAAGATTAAAAGCATGCTGTGAATGTCTGGCAAGAATATAAGAATCTGTCTTGGCAGTGGAAATACAATTTTAATGACTTCCTTGACCTTTGGTAGTAGCAATAGCTTTAGGGTTTCTTCTGAAGTGTCAGTATTGAGTTAGCCCTAGCTGGTTTGGCTCAGTGGTTAGAGTGTTGGCCTGAAGAGTCCTGGGTTTGATTCTGGCCAAAGTCATGTACCCCGGTTGCAGGCAACCAATTGATGTGTCTCTCTCTCTTCCCCTTCCACTCTCCCTGAAAAGCAGTGGAAAAAATACCCTCAAGTGAGGATTAAAAAAAAAGAAAAAATATTTTAGTTTAATTTTATTTTGAGTAGTTTATATTCAGAGTGAATTATACATTTTTACTAAACTTTCATTTATTTTGCCTCATATTAAAGTCATAGACTTTAATTTTTTTTTTTAATCCTCACCTGAGGGTATATATTTTTTTAAATTGATTTTAGAGAGAGAGGAAGAGAGAAACACTGATTGGTTGCCTCCTGTATGCGCTCCTACTGGGGATCAAACTGAAACCTAGGTATGTGCTCTGACTGGAAGTCCAGCTGTACCCTTTTGGGGTACAGGATGATGCTCCAACCAAGCCACTCTGCCAGGGCTGTGGACTTTAATTTTGAAGTTACTGCTTCATATCTTAACATTTTTGTTTAATACTCATGTAAATAGGGATTTAATATGCAAACTTCTTTTCCGAAAAATTATTCCCAAAGCTCATAATAATTGGGTTATAGTCACTGATCTGTTTTGAGAATTGGTTAAGATACTAAGCTGTGGAAGAACTGAATTAAAAATGCTAGATGATTTTTGTCATACGATTTTGCTCTTTAATATAATTTAACCACTGTTTAAGTACCAACTATGTGTTAGCTGCTCTGCTAGGAGCTTGCTTTTTTATTCACTGTTTTAAATGTTTTTTTACCCCCAGGGGAAAACAAAACCATATGTTAATGGTGCACCACCTACATATTTAAGGGAAGATTTAAAACCATGGGAAAAATCACCAATACTTAAAATATCTGTTCCACAACCCATTCCGAGTAACAGAATTGATACTTCAAGCTCTTCTAGTTGGGTTGCTGGTTCTTTCAGGTAGGATATTCATTTTGTGCCATACCTGTTAGTCTGAAAAGTACCATTAATTTTTAGTCAAATGAATATTTTTAATGAAGTACATTTAAAAATACTAATATAGATTTCTAATATGGTACACAGAAAATTACCTTAATGCATACAAATTACTAATCAGCTAAAATAGGCTCTTTTTTCCCCCCGACAAAATTTAATTGCCTTTGTATTTTCATCAGTGAATACTAGTAAATACTATCTATCACACACATACAGTGACTTGATATCATCTTTTTTATAAGGGGGTGGAGTTGTAGGGGGAGGATAGTATATATGAGTTAAAAATCCCACCCAGGAAGATCATTTTGTCATTTGAAGGCTTTATCTTTTTTTGTTTTGTTTTGTTAGCACATTAAGGGGTATTTAAGATCAATCTCACAAAATGTATTGTTATCACAGTTAATTTTCAGAGGATATTCATTTAATGCTATACTGTACTTTTAACCTATATTTTATCCATGTATTTTTTATTTATTTAGGAAAGTTGTTTAAAACAGGAGTAGATAAAGTTAAAACGCAGTGTTCTTTTTCTGCGCTTATTGAGCTTGTGCTTCATTGTTATATACCTACTGTGGTTTATAATATTCTAAAACTGTTAATTGACTTACCAGTTATATTATTATCTGGATGATTTGTATAATTATTTTGAAATACACTGTATTTTGCACAGTTGTAACAAAGATTATTATGTCCCATTGTATGTTGCTTCATGATCTAAAGGTAATTCAGAAATTGGTCTCAAATTTTTTTGCCTAAGTAAACATTTGTGAGAACACCTAGAAGCATCTTCTAATTAATATTAGGCTATTTTTTAAACATGTTTTAAGAATAGCTTTGTGTAAAGTCAGAAAAATATATTGGCTATTTCTAAAGATTGTAGAATTTTTTTCTCATTATGGTATAACTCCCTCTGGTGGGTCTCTAGTATTGTTGAGCATTCCCAAGTTTTCCATTAAATGTTTTTTTGTTAACATTAGAGAGTAGTAAGAATTTTTCTTTGTTAAAAATAAAAAGGAAATACAGTTTTTAAGTCCCATTCATCTTGAAGGATAAGAATTTAAATAGAACTTTGAGTCCGTTCTGCCTGAGTTAGATAAGTTATGAATCTTTCTATTGCTTGGCTTTTTTTTTTCCTTTAAGAGTTTCAGTTATATTACTTACCGTTATGACTTTGGATGCATTTTAGTAGTTATTTATGGATGTATATATAAAATTAGCTTTCATTCAAAATATCTTTTTTAACATTGGCCACAGCTGATGAAACAGACTTAACTTGTCCTTTCATTATAAATCTTATATATAATTTATAGTTTCGGTGAAGTTTGGGGGTAGTATTTTATGGATAAATGAATTGTAAAGTAACTTTTATGTCTTTTAGTCCTGTCAGCCCTCCTATCATGGATCTGAGAACCATCATGCAAATTGAAGAAAATAGACAAAAATGTGGAGCAACACCAAAGACAAACTTGGGGTTGGTTTAAAAAATACACATATATAAAAGGAAAGACCGTGTTGTAGTTGTGCCCTAAAGAACTGGAAAGCTCTGCGGGACCTTTTCTGTTATTTTTGTGCATTTATGTTAAAGTTAATTATGAGCTCTTTTCTAGGTAGTTCAGCCTCCATAACATATTTCTTAAATATATGCTAAAGATTTAGTTAATAGTCCAACTCTTGTGAAATACCATATTAAATGCCAAAAACTTGCCCTTAAAATGATCACTGTAGACTAGTTTTGATGCCAGTGTATTAGTAAGTAGCAAGCTCATATGTAGCTATTACTTGATCATTGATAGTATAAACTGATATCACTGTTGAAACTCCTGGCCATTTTCATCCAGTAATAGTAAAATCACATCACATAAACAGAAAGCAATATAATTACCTGTAATTCATCATTAAGCAGAAATTAATGTTAATTGGTTTAATTTAATTTCTAGCAAAATGATTTCTTATGGAATTAAACTTTCTCGGAGGTAGTGAAACTAATTGGTTTAATTTAATTTAATTTCTAGCAAAGTGATTTCTCCTGGAGTTAAACTTTCTCAGAAGCAACGAAAAATGATTGCAATGACTACCAAAGAAAATAACTCAGGAGTGAATAGCATGGAAACAGCTTTAACTGCTCCTTCAAAAAACACAAAACTAGCACATGCCTGGTATGGTCTAATTTTTAATAAATTAAGCATAGATTTGTGCATTTTAGCTTTTATGGTAGTTCTTGACTCCTAGGTCTTATTTCCCCATCTTTTAAAATATTTCATTTTCCTGTTTGCTTTTAGTTAAAAACTGTGCCTTGGGAAATAAAGACAACCTATTATTATAATTGTTTTTTACAAGTACATCATGGTTTTCAAAAGGTTTTTGTATGTAGATACATTTTTTAACTATTTTAATTAGTGTTTACTGAGAAAGCATATTAAAGGAGCATTCTTATTTTTTCATTTTCTGTAAGAAATAATATACTATTTGGGGTACCCCATAAAAAAACAAGGCCTTCTAAATTTCCATATCTTGTTTGAATAAATCATGTGTACCAGCCTCTGGCCAAACTATATTTGTAAAACACTTATACATGTGTCATCTCATTTAATCTTTACAATAACAATCCTGACAGAGAAGCATTTTCATCACCACAAAGTGTACAACCACAGTTTAGGGATCTCAACGACGGTAAAATCACCAGAGATAAGGCAGAACTGGGATGGAAACCCAATTCTTTTTTTTTATTTTAAATATATCTTTATTGATTTTGGAGAGAGGAAAGGAGAGGGGGAGAGAGAGAGAGAGAGAAACATCAATGATGAGAGAGTCATTGATCGGCTGCCTCCTGCACGCCCCCGACTGGGGATTGAGCCCGAAACCTGGGTATGTGCCCTGACCGGGAATCAAACCCGGATCGCCTGGATCCTAGGTCGACGCTCAACCACTGAGCCACGCCCGGCGGGGCGGAAACCCAATTCTTAATGATCACAACACTCATACTTTGCCATCTACTCTACCACTGCCTTCAATAAGAAATCAAGACAATAACACTCCTTATAAAGTCAAAGATAACAAAGATGAGAGGAAAATGATTCATACTTTGTTTTTGTTAACATATGAGCTAAGCATCCATTCATAACAAAATTAGCTAAAAATTTTTTACCAAATTTCTGTTTACTCAATAAAGATTAAATGAACACAAACTGCTTCACATAAGATTTTTCTTAAAAAAAAAAAATCACCAAAACTTTAATGCATGTTAAGGAAATCAGTTAATCATGTGACCATATTACAAATTACATTATTATATAGGTAAATAATAATGGCTGGCTAACATTTATGTATTGTTTATACAATACTGATGGTGCTGTGTTAAATGTGTTCCATATATTACCTCCTGTGAAATCTTCACAATACCCTCGGAGAAATAGCTTCTGTTTTTAGCTCTTGTTTATGGACAAAGAAAGGTTATATAACTGATCTAAGTTCACAGTGCTACCAAGTAACATATCCACGATTTAAATTCAGGCAAAGCTCACTCTAGAAACCCAGCTTAATCACTATACTCTACTGCTATGCCCACATTTAAGTCATTTACCCTAAGTAAAATCTTAGCTCATTATGAGAGAAATTTTCTTTATAGATTTATATCAGAAACATGACCTACTAAGGTATTCATGTTAAAAATACTTCTTCAAAAGGAACTTGCCTAACTTTGACTTTATCACAAAATTTTACCCTAAACACATATATACCCAAAACATAAAAAAATTTATATATGTATACAAAATAACCACTCCCCATTTCATTACCAATTCCTTTCTCCTCCCAAAAGCACACATATCTATTGGTAAACAAGGTAACTATGATGTAAAGTATAGTGTATCATTAGTCATTTGGGAACATGCTGGCAAATACTCCTGCCAGAAAATCTGCTGAATGTCTCTTGTAAGCAATTCATGTCTCTAAACAAAGAAACTTCACAGTGATGTGTATAAAAAGCACAAGTTGTAAGATTCACCCTACTAGTAATTCTGGGACTTCTAGATGTAGTGATCTACACCCTTAAAGTTATTTTTTTATAAGTCACTTATAATATCTCCTTAAGAATAAATATAGGAGATGTAACAATACTTAGAAAAGATCAAACTTGCATGTTCATCAATCATGCACAGTAGTCGTTACTTATAACATGTTTTACGCAGGTTTCCTCAAATGAGTTCTATTATTCTTTCCACTGATCATGCCATAATTTGATAGAGTGTCTGATTTCCTATGATTTTACTTTCCTAACTCATAGGCTCTGGCTATTTTCCATCAGAGCAGCCAGCAAAACTTCATGGAGAAGCATTTGTAGATATTTGTAACCACACAAAAAATTAATCAAGATTTGTTTCTTGATTAATTTGCTAAAGCAACCTTGAAAATTTTGCTTTAATGACCAAATCCCTAGCTCTAAAAAGTTAAATAATTGAAATTAGTCTATAACTTATAGGCTAACTCTAAATGGAATTTGGAAGAATTTACATTCATAAGTCAAGCCAGGCCATAAAGACTGTGCATTCTTCCACTGAAGATTAATTTCTCCAAGTTAAACACTGGATAATGAAAAGTAACCAGCTCCCATATACACTTGGTGTTTACACATTAGATTTAAAATTCAACTGGATAGAATTTTATTTTAATGCAAGAACCAGTTATTTTTAATACTTATTGCCACACCTAACTGCAAACAGCAGGAGTATAACTATATACAGGGTAGGGCAAAGTAGGTTTACAGTTGTGAGTACATGAGTTTATTCTTGTATTATTAATTATTGTATTATTTTCCATCTGAACAAATGTAAACCTACTTTTGCCCTACCCTGTAGTTTATGTACTTAATCTGGGTGTGGATTTTATAGTATCTTCAAAGTATGAATTTAAACTTTTTGGGGAATTAGTTGGTCAGCATTTATAAGTGTTCACTTATTAACATGGCCATTTTGTTTTCTGAGTAAATAAAAAATGGAAAAATTAAAATTAGACTAGGAAATTGTTTACATTATGTTCATAATTTTGACTAATGTTGCAGTTTCTGAGAATGACACTAAGGGTACAATGTAGTTCTAGTGTACGAAATAATAACTAAAGTTTCTGAATTAATTTTTCCAAGTCAGACTTTAGGAAGGAAAGAGATACTAAGCCTATTAACTGATTATATTTCTTCATATCAGAACTTCTGTGTTTTTTCTTCTTTTTCTCTTAAATAAAAACAAGTTAGTTTTGTTAAATGTGAAAATTGTGGTTAGTAACAGATTTACATAGCATTTCTCTGAATTAATTTATGTATTTAAAACAGAACCTAACATTTGATCCTCATAACTGTTATGGTGGAGATGGTATTAGTATCTCCATGTTATTGATGAGGAAACTAAAGCACAGAGGTTCAGTAACTTCCCAAGATCAAAGCTAAAGATTTGAACAGGGCCAAGATTTGAACTCAGTCTAGCAATAGAGCCTGTGTGCCTAATCCTGACTACCACCCTGCAAATCCTTTTTACATTCTTGATTATAAAGTAAAGAATTGATTGCTGGATAAAAAGACTCTGATACTATACAAATCTAAGTATGAAATCTTTGGAAGCTAAAATAATCTGTGCAGGTAATTTTTAATGTTTTGCCTGTTTTTTTTGGTGGATATTGTTATAAAATACATTCCAATCTTAACTAATACTCAGAAGTATTACACCTATGTTGAGTGTAATTGATTTATGTTTTAGATTCTTTAGATAAACTTAAATTTTCTTTATTCTGTCGGTGTAAAATTATGTTTAAATTTTAAATGACTTTTTATTGAATCATATATATACTTAGAAGTATAGTTGTAAGTGTATAGGTTGATGAAGTTTTACAAACTGAACAATATTGTGCAACCAGCACTCAAATCAAGAAGTAAAATTATCAGCATTATTCAGCAGAAGTAATGTTCTCTCTGAGCTTAATTATTTAATTTATTGAGCATAGTTTTTATTATTACCTGAGGCATAGTTGTAATAGCGGTTATTAATGTCACTGCTATCATTGTGTTTGTGTTAACTTGCATTTATTGTTTTTTCTCATCACATAGTTTTGATTAGTTCATCATAGTTAACAGCAAAAAAATCTAACATTGCATTGAAAACTGTAATTATATAATTTTGTAAAATTTTTGGTCTGTATTCTCTCCATTGTATCCTGTGATTTCCAGCAATGACCCTTTAAAAAAGTGAATGTTTTAACATGATCTCTTTTGTCTTTTACAGGGCATCTTCTCTACATTCATTTTCATCCAAGTCATTCCGGGATTTCTTAGTAGAAGAAAAAAAATCTGTTACTGGGCACAGTGCAGGAGATCATGTCAAAAAAGTTTGTGTTAAAGGAATTGAAAATCCCCAGGCTCCAAAAGTTATAAGGTAATAAAATAAATTTATAAGTTTTCTACCTTAAAATGTTCTATGGTGGTTTTATGTTCTGAAATAATCTAAGTATTTATGAGGTAGATTTTTATATATTCTTTTACAATCAGAAATAACATGTCTTTTTTTTGAAGCTTTATTTTGGTATAATTGGCTTATAATAAAATGTATATATTTAGAGTATATAATTTGACTTTTTGGCATATGCATACAACCATTAAACCATTATCACTAACCACATTCAAGACAGTGAATATAACTCATTCTCAGAAGTTTCCTCATGGCCTTATGTAATCCCTTCCTCTTTCCCATCCTGCTCCCCATGCATTTATTAACCTGCTTCTGTCAGTAGAGACTAGCTTAGTATTCTAGAGTTTTGTATCAATGGATTCATTCAGTATGTACTTTTTAAAAAAATCTGTTTTTTACTCAGCGTATGTTTTGAGATTTATTCAAGTTGTTATGTGTATTAATAGTACCTTCCATTTTATTGTTGAGTAGTATTTTATTGTATGGATATAAAACAATCAGTTTATCTGCATCTGTGATGGACCCTAGGGTGGTTCTAGTTTTTTGTCTAGCTATTTTTATTTAATATGTTTTTATTGATTTCAGAGAGGCAGGGAGAGGGAGAGAGATAGAAACATCAATGATGAGAATTATTGACTGCCTCCTGCATGTCCCCTACTGGGGACTGAGCCTACAACCTAGGCATGTGCTCTGACTGGGAATCGAACTACGACCTCCTGGTTCGTGAGTTAATGCTCAACCACTGAGCCATGCTGGCTGGGCTGTCGAGCTATTTTTGATACTGGTTTTTTAAAGTTCAGTATGTTTTTAAAAGATACTTCAAGTTTTAAATGCATACATGTAATCTCTTAAGTGTTGTAAACATTTTTACTGTCAAAGTTTAACATCTAACTACATTTGAGTGCCACTTGTACACATATAACACAGGTGTTTTGTATCTACTACATACATAATTGTAAACAAATGCTCTAAAATAGACCTGTACTCAGAAAATTGTAAGACACTAAAGAAACCAAAGAAGATACTAATAAATGGAAGTTTATACTGTGCTCATGGCTAGGAAGAATTAACATCATTAAAATGTTCATGCTACCCAAAGCAACCTATAGAGTCAACACAATTCCTATCAAAATACCAATAGTGTATGTCACAGAACAAGAACAAATAATTCAAAAAGTTGTATGGAAACACAAAAGACGCTGAAAGAAATCTTGAAAAAGAACAAAGTGGGAGGTATTACACTACCTGATATCAAACTATACTATAAGATGATAGTAATCAAAAAAGTATGGTACTGGCATAAAAATAAACATATAGATCAATGGAACTGAATAGAGAACCCAGAAATAAACCCAGGCCTATGTGATCAATTAACCTATGACGAAGGAGGCAAGAACATACAGTGGGATAAAAGTCTATTCAATAAATGGTATTGGGGAAATTGGACAGATACATGCACAAAAATGAAACTAAACCACATTCCTATACCATATACAAGAATAAATTCAAAATGGATTAAAGACTTAAATATAAAACCTGAAACCATAAAACTCCTAGAAGAAATTAGAGGCAGTAAAATCTCTCACATTTCTCTTAGCAATATTTTTTCTGACTTACCTTCTTGGGCAAGAGAAACAAAAGTAAAAATAAATGGGACTACATCAGACTAAAAAGTTTTTGCACAGCAAGGGAAACCAACAAAATGAAAAGACAACATATTAAATGGGAGAAGATACTTGCCAATGATATATTCCAAAAGGAGTTAATAACCAAAATTTATAAAGAACTCAGACAAGTCAACACCAGAAAAACAAAAAATCCAGTTAAAAAGTGGACAGAGGACCTGAATAAACACTTCTCCTAAGAAGACATACAGATGGCCAGTAGGCATGAAAAGTTGCTTAACATCATTAATCATCAGAGAAATGCAAAATCAAAACCACAATGAGATAACACCTCACACCTGTCAGAATGGCTATCATCAATTAAACAAGTGTTGGCAAGGTTATAGAGAAAAGGGAACCCTAGTGCACTGTTGATGGGAATGCAGATTGGTGCAGCCACTGTGGAAAACTGTGTGGAGGTTTCTCAGAAAATAAATGGAACTGCCTTATGACCCATCAATTCCACTTCTAGGTATATATCTGAAGAAACCTGAAACACAAATGAATGCGAAAAAATATATACACCCTTGTGTTCATTGCAGCGTTATTTACAATAGCCTTAGCTATGGTAGCAACCCAAGTGCCTATCAATAAATGAGTGGATAAAAAAGCTGTGGTACATGGCATGGCCAGGAGTGGCTCAGCGGTTGAGCATCAACCTAGCATCCAGGAGATCACAGTTCTATTCCTGGTCAGGGCACATGCCCGGGTTGCGGGCTCAATCCCCAGTTGGAGGCGTGCAGGAGGCAGCCAGTCGATGACTCTCTCTCACTATTGATGTTTCAACTCTCTCTCTCCCTCTCCCTGAAATCAATAAAGATGTATTTTTTTAAAAAGCTGTGGTACATGTACACAGTGGAATGCTACTCAGCTGTAAAAGAGTGAAATCTTACCTTTTGCAACAGCATAATACCCTAGGTGGTATTATGCTTCTTATGCTAAGTCAACTAAGTTAGACAGAGACAGACAGATGCCATATTATTTCACTTAAATGTGGAATCTAAGAACAAAATAAACAAAATAGCAGCAGACTCAGATACATAGAGCAGATTTACTACTGAGAGAGGGGAGGGGTTTGGGGACCTGGGTGAAAATGGTGAAGGGATTATGAAATATAAATTAGTAATTACGGAATAGCCGCAGAGATGTAAATTACAGCATAGGGAATATAGTTAAGAATGTTGTAATAACACTGTATTGGGCCAGTTGGGTACTTGAAGCAGCGGGGGCACCACTCTGTAAAGTACATGATTTTCTAACCACTATGCTGTACATCTGAAACGAATACAGAATAACATTGAATGTAAACTGTATTCAAAATTAGCCATTATGTACACATCTCTCATTAAGTAGGTCTATTCCAGACAAATTTTTTAATTAGAAAAAAATATATTTTTTAATTTGGTTATTTATTATCCTCTAAATATAGTATATAGCCTTTTTTGTATAAAAAAAACACAGGAATATCATTGGTTTTGTAAGTTGTATGATGAATGATGTCCTGTTACCATGTTTTCAAGTAGAAAGAAATGTAACTATTTGTATTCATCTTTTGTTTTGCAGTAGAAGAGTTATCCTTTCAATATAAGGCTAATATTTATACCTTTACTTGTATCTTAATCCCTTGACACTTCAGAATCCTTAAACTATGAATTATCTGTCTCTTTTCTTGTGGATATTCAACCTTTTCCCTTTAAGTAGATTTTTCCCATCTGGTTTTGAATATGCTCAGGTCTCTCTCATGTGGTCTGGGCAAGATAATCAGTCCCTCTCTCAACCTCCACATTTTCTTCTGGCAGTTGTCCTATCCTTACCAATCCCCTACTCCTTTCACAGCCAGATTTCTCAAAAGGGCTGTCAGCTCCCACTCACTTAATAGTATTATTCTGGCTTCCAGTCCCATTACTAAGCTGAAACAGTTCAGGCTAAGTTTATCAGTGACCTCCATATTGCCAACACCATGGACTTTTTATATGACTCATTGTACTTGAAGTTCAATTACAGGTCATATTCTCATTTCACTTTACATTCTTTCTATGCTATCTATTCCAGGAGCTCCTATGCTCAGTTATCAGCTACACACTAAAGACTCAAAGTTTATGTCACCTGCCACATCTATCATCTGAGCTTCAGACTTAGTTAAACTGCCTTCTTGACATCTCTATCCTATTTGGATGTTCAAAAACACCTTAAACTTTATGTCCAAATCCAAACTTGATGTTTTCCTAATACCTCTCTCATAAAACCAAAATCAATCAAATATACAGACAAAATATTAAACAGCCCACTTTTCCTATTTATCTTCCTTGATAAATGGCATTTGCACATCTTTGACATATCCGTTTTCCTCACCAATGTCCAGTCTATCACTGGGACATGCCAGTTTTTCTCATAAATATTTCTCAAATCCATAGACTAAGCTGTATCTCCACTGCTATCACCCTCATTTAGACTACTGTGATCTTTTACCTGGTCACCTGAGTGAGCCTCCAGACTGGTCCTGCCATAGCCTTTCTTCCTTTCCTTCAATATATTGCGCCATTGTGTTCTCTTTAAAATGCAGATGTTACTGCTGTTAGGATAAAAGCTAGAATTCTTATATGGTCTTCAAGGCCTACCTAGTCTGGCTCCTCCCAACCTCTTTAGCTTTATCTTTTAACGTGATCTTTGTATTCTAGCCATCTTGGCCTTCTCTTAGTTTCTCAAATGCCATTTACTTCTTTCTACCTACGTACCCTTTGACTAGTTGACTGACTCTTCTTTCAGTCTCTATTCAGTCATATTCTTTGGAGAAGTCTGACTTCCCTTTTTGGGTTAGTTTCCTGTTACGTGTATTCTCAGTACACTTCCCACTCATCACACGTTTCACAGTTATACTTTTTATTAGTGGGAATCTTTGTTTAATGTTTTCTGCTACAAGTATCTTAATGTCTTTATGTTTAACTACATAGTTCATTGAGAGCAAGGAAGATTGATCTTTTTGCTCTTCACCAATGCTTAGAATTTACTAGGTACTCGGCATTTAGTGAATGGTGGAATAAATAAATGAAATAAACTGTAGCTGTCTCAAGTAACATTTGTTTCTAATAGCAAGTTATATTGTAGTCCTTAGATGTATAAGTTTTAAAGTATGAAGTTCATTTTTGTAATTTTTAAATACTTTAAATATTTAAACTACACATTAAAATTTCTTTTCTTTGGATAAACATATTTTTAAAATATGTTTTCATGGATTTTAGAGAGAGAGGAAGGAAGCTGGAGAGAAAGAGAGAGAAACATCGATGTGAGAGAGAAACTGATTGG